TAATTACAAGAATTGGCCAACAAAGATATTTGTAGATTTAATAACCATTTATAAGTGACGGAAAATGAATATGAGTAGTGTTCGAGGCTGTAATTTGAAAGCAATAAAAAGTAAGTAATGAATCATGACGAGCTGCGTTGTTCTGGTAGATGCGAGAATGTCTATGGTAATTTCCCAAAGCATGACGTTAATTTTTTGACAGATTCTGCTGAGCCTAACTCTAAATCCGCAGGGTTTTCATCGCATTTCAAAAAGCATACAATTCGGTGGTGTTTTTCCCAGATGGTTTTGTTTCTCATTTTGCGTGACCAATACCTATTAATGACATGTTGGATGACTTAGGACAGTTGATACAGCACGAAAACAAGAGGTCATTCAAAATAATTAGGTTAAGAACGTAAGGAATAATAAGAAACAAATGAAGGTATTGTCCCAAGAGGCTTAAATTAAAAATGTATAGAACATAAAATTTTAAAAGAAAAACAAAAAATAACAAATACGAGGGACTGATGATGTTTTTAAAACATTGATATTGGGGTATATATATAGAAATATATATATACATATATCATATATGTACAAATTGTGATGGCTAAAAAAAAAAAAACATACGCCGGTCATGACGAGAATTTGGCGAAGCTGCTTTTTGAGTCGTAGTTTATAAAAATGAAAAAAATAATTGTGCACGATAGGAATGCGCCAGATGCCGGATAAACAAGGAATACGAAACCGGGCGTTCCATTTTCTTCTTTTCTCATTTCTTTGATTTCGTAAGATGGTGGAAGTAATTTTGAATGAAAACGGCCTTTTCGCAAAATTGCTGCAAGATGATGGCAAACTATCAAACTTTGAAAAGTGGCTATGTGTTGATTACTATCGACTTTTATTATAAGCAATCCTAGAAGAAACGATAGTCATTTTTCAAAAAACAAATACCAATGATCCAAGAAAATCGGTGTAACTTAAAGAAGACATAACATTAAATATCGTTCGGCAAAGCGGTATGTTCAAAAAAGAAAAAGTAATGCTTCTGAATCCAGAAGGCTTTGGTTCAGAGAAGTGTGAGTTATATCAGCACTGCCATCAAACCGCGTTCCAAATAATATGAAAATAGAATTTTTCATTAACATATAACCTAGGGACTCGTATATTTTTTCCATATATTATAAATTTGAGCCAAACGAAAAACAAAAGATATATTTAAGCTATTTGATTGCGGTTTTAGCTGTTATTGTTATATAATAGTAATTGAAAAGATATGTAAATATAGATTAAATCGAGAATTGTGGCAAGCAAAGAAGGAGGTTGTTTCAATAGTAACTGCTACGAAAGTCTTTTGAACATACTAGAACGAATTGAAAAAAATATTTATTTCCTTGTTTACTATTGGCTTCTAGAAAAAAACGTAACGTTTGATATTCGTATTATGGTATTATATAATTTTTAAATATGCCTTGAAGCTTGGTAAAATTATTCATTTTTAGTATGTTATCCAATGAAAATAACACCAGTGTAAATTCTATTACTGTCGATGAATGAATAAAACCAATTGTTATATCTTGTATTACTATTTATTAAAAAAAACCCAAAGCTTCAGAGAAACAGAATGAAGTTGAATAATTTCCGTAAACAATTTAATTGGGGTTTGTCATGCATGTTTATTTATAAACATACTTCGATATTTTTCGAGATTTTTAGAAAAAAAAAAACATTTTTTAACTCATTTATTTGAAGAAAAAGAAGAAGGAAGCGAAGAGCTTTTATTCGGAGAATAGAAAAGAAAACAATGAAATCGAAGAGAAGGGTAAAACTGCGAGTTATGCCGATGAAACAATGATTTATGTCGAGCCGAGGCGCCAAGTCGAATGGGCCCTTTCTCGCACGTAAAAAAATATTATTGATGGTAATTGGCAGGAAGAGCACTTTCTTTGGTTTGCAAAACCAGGAAGTGCAATTATTTGAAAAATCCAGAAGCTTTCTGGAAAAGAGCTTTACTAAAACTCACACAACTTCAGGAAGGAATGCGGGGATGTTGCATTTGAATTTTGCACGATAAGTCGAATTTGCATTCTGATGAGCTGGGCGACTGATTGAAAACGACGTGCGTGTGATGTGATTTTGGCGGTCTAGCAGATAATCATCCAATTATTCGAAAGCTCGGCCGACAGTGTTCCGACTGACAGCTGCACTTTTCGTTTAACCTCTTAACCTTTATTCGATTTCTCACCACCACTAACTTGGCATTTGACGTATTTTGATTTAATTCTGCCAATTATGCAAATTCTAACTCAAGTCAAATGATGTAGGAAGTGTACGAATGACAGAAAATGAACAAAGAAAGAAAAAAATGCATTTAAATCAAATTTCAAGTATTGCTCTCCCGAAAGAGTACACGACTCCACCAAATATGAAAAGACTTCAACAAGAATTCTTGACGAAGATAAACGCAACGCTTGGACACTATTTTAGAATGCTTGGTTGTTTTTTATTTGGGTTGATGGAAAAGGAGCAGATTCAGTTATCGAAAAGTGTCCTCAGGGGAAAATTTGTCGAGACGCGCAAATGTTGGCCAAAGTTGCAGTAAAACTACGAGTTGATCTCGTTTCTTTATGTTTCGAACAATAACCAAAAAGAAGAAAATTTTGAAGAAGAGGGGGCTCGTCGGTGGTCGGTCAGTTCAACGAGATTATTCCGCATGCATTTACTAGGATATGCTGGTTGCAGCGCACTCAGAAATGCACATAAATCCGCAAAAATGATTCAGTTTTCGACGAAAAGTAAAAGTGCGAAGCGATTCAAAAAAATGTAAAGCGACTAGAAGAGTTTGTGACGTGTAACCCAATCCGCTGACCGCGCTCCGCCGGCTTGCAGGGATGGATTATCAAGATTGAGGCTCGGAAAACGGCAAGCAAACGGTGTAATCAATAGTAAAGTGCTTTTAAAACAATTTCCGCAAAGCTAACGCTAACGACCGAGCTCATAAATATTAAGTGGCTAGGTGTTAATTGAACCTATATCACCTGTCATTCGTTTCTCTCCTCAATAACCTCGGAGCACTTATGAGCCGACACTCTCTTGCTTTTTTTTTCATAAAGTGAAAATGATAAGCGAGCCCATTTTCCTTATTATATCAAGAAAAATATCGTCATAATTTCAGATGGTTTCCTTCAAATGGACCACTTGAAAAGTACACACATTGTACACAGAATTGATGGCCCAGCTCGTAGATATTAATGAAAAACGGCGAAACAAAAAACGAAGGAAGTACAACAAGGAACTTTCGTTTCTATTATTCATACACTTTATTAGATATTCAAGCACTATTTAAAAGAAAGACCTCGTTCACCGATATTCATTACAAATGCATTCAAAAATTCCAATGAGACCGACAAGTGATGAATGTTTTTATCTATTCAAAAAAAAAACGGAGAAGGTCCATTAAAACTGAATGAATTGGGTTTAGCTCAACATTGAAATGTCAAGCGTTTTCGTAATGATGTTTTGAAAGAAATGCGATATCAATGATGCATATCGAAAAAGATGTGACTTTTGTAATTCAGATCATTTAAATTGGTTCTCAGTAGCTGCTCCATCTTTTACTATTTTTAATAATTTTGCAGTCCGTTGGCATTTGCAGTGAATATTGTCAATGTCTCGGGACAGCGGAAAGATGGTTAATGTCAAAAAATTGGCTTAAGGGTTTAGTGAGCTTTGGGCGCCATTAATTTTGCTGCATGATTATTGCCACGGTTTTTTTGGTATTTATGTAGTTAATTTGCCAGTGGCGCGGGACCGACAATAAACCAAAGTAAGGTGAAATGGTGACAAAAGGATCAGGTGACAAATGAATCAAAAAGGGATTTAATTGTTGATATATAAGGATGTATTAAATGCATGAATGGTTAAAAAAAAACGAATGGCTCCGTGTAAGTTACGGTATGTGTCCGATCTGCATGATGTGTGTGTACATTGAACTGATTGCTTAAATATGTGAATAACTGCAGAAAATGTATTACACACAGGCACTTCGTTGCCATATGATGTTAATGATTGTTGTTAATCATCTAATATCTAATGAAGTAAAGCGGTTCACAGTCGTAAAGAAAATGAGTTGTTTTTCATTTTGTCAAATATTAAAGAAATATTAAATTATACAGAAAGACACTCATCTTCAGTGCGTATTTTCAATGCAACTTACTTGTTATCAATATCTTATTAATAAGAATTTAATTATACATTCCTGACAAAAACACAAACGAGACATATACTTATTGTTTTTTTTTACTGCATAAACTTGTATATAAATATATAGTTTTTCTTTTCCCAAACCAGCATACTTATCTATTTATTTTCAAAGTGTGGAATGCTTCAATTTTCATCTCAAGGAATTTATTACAATCTTTCGGTTTATGTCATTTTGTAGACTCTCGTGAAAAATAAATATTTAGAATTTCTTCTAATATTGGTACGAGTAGGCTGCACTATGGGAAAAAACCCGTCCCACGAGGCGCGAACAATAATTGCATACAGCCGTTGGATTTGCAATAAATCTTGATCCGCAATGGTTTATTCTAATGCGGAATAAATCTTCTACACGCAAATTATCCTTGACTTTCTTGATTTTTGGAAAAAAATATAACAGACCAATGAAAATAATACAACGTGGCGCTCGGGACTAGGATATAGGGTAAAAAGATCATATTCTTCAAAATAAAATTTATTTATATTGTGGCATTTCAAAATACATATGTTCATCAAATAAAAAACAATCAGAGAGAAAAAGAGGGAATACAATTCAACAGTATAATAATGACGTTAAGAATCAAATAATAAAAATTAAAGTTATAGCGAAAAAGTGCAATATTACAGCATTTTTACGTGTACCTGTCTAGTGATTTGGAAAACAAATTCTTATAACCGATTTAAGCCATACCACCATTATTATCGATTTATTGTTAACTATTGACGCATTTTGAACATCTTCACTAATAATCTAATTACTATTCGTGAAGTCCAGCAGATCGTAAATTCTCATTAACAATATGTGAAACGGCAGAGCCAAAAACCTAGAAAAATCGAACAAATTAAAAATTTGAAAAATAAATCTCACCAGATCGATGTTTTTTGTATCCGTTGCTGTCGTCTCAAATGAAAAAAACTTATGACGATCAGTTATACATCTTCGAAACTGTTTCATTATGAAATCTTTTGCACTTTCGGGAGAGTTGTCCCCTAAAATTAGAATTTTAGTGAGAAGTCATGTATAGTTTTATAATTCTTACCGGTATATCCATGAAAATTTCGCCGCAATGGTGAAGTTTTTAGTTTATCGCAAAAAATATCGTATTTGTTTAGAAAGAGTACAATAGTGGCATGGCGGAACAAATCCGATTGCACAATTGTCTTGAAAATCTCGTAACTTTGCTTCATTCGATTCTGTAATAATTTAAATAAAAATATTATATTATCATCGAAAAAAACGAGCAGCTTGATTAATAGTGGATCATCGCGGGCGACAATTCAATTTTGAATTTAAACAGTGGGAATTCGGGTTCCGTATAACCTGCGAATCATACTTATCAGGGCAGATTTTTTTTCTAATTTCGTAATTAGAATGACTTACGTATCTATTGTCTTCTGGATCTAGCTGATCATAATCACTCATGGACACAACAAAAAGAACCATGTCAACATTATCAAAACAGTGTATCCATTTCCTCCTCTCTGTTCTTTGTCCACCGACATCGACCATTCTGAAATCATTAATGAAAAATAGTTTTTATCAAAAAAAAAATTATACTTGAAGTCAATTTTCTTCAGTGTAAATGCGATTTCATTTATTCCCGTCGTTGACATTCGACAATGCACAATGTCTTGAGTGTTTGGAACATAATTGTCCTCGGTCAATCGCACAATATTGTCGAGAAAACTGGAAAAAAATAATTATAAAAAAATTTCAAAAATTTAGAAAACATTATTTAGTCTTAATGAAATCTGGTAGCTATTGAAGTTTTGATTTTAAACAATGATTTAGAAATTGACCAACATACTTTCTTTGTTAAGGAAATAAAGTCCTGCGATATAAGCTAGTTGTCGTCGATACGAATTCAAAATGCCTATATATGGTTCATATAGACAATTTTAGAACAATTTGCTTTGGCACAAAAAAGTTGAACTTCGAGGACATAATAATTCGTTAGCGGCTCCGCATTTCTTCGGTAAAATTCATACGCACGAGTGCCTCATTTCACATACACTTTTTTTTTTGAATGAGTCCTTTTTCAAAAATCCAATATAAGGAACTTGAAATTGTTTTGAAATTGGCGCGCCATTCGAAATATTTCACAATTAAATGCCATTGGGGCAAAGTTTTCTATTTATTCAGTTGAATTTCGAACATTCAAGTTTATCTCAAAACTATAAAAACATTTTGAAATTAAATGCTTTTTACATTGTAATTCAGTAATAGCGAGAAAAAAATGGTCAAGACGATTAAACTTACTATTTGGCGCTATCTAGAAGTGCAAAACTGAAACGTCTTGTTTCATAGCAATTCTGAACAGAAGAACTTTGCCATATTCGCTCCATGCATCTCCCAATAACAACTGGTATCACTAAACCCTCAGGATCTTTCAGTTTCTTTTTGAAATCCAGAAATCGATTAACGTCTTCCTTAACATCACTGAATAGAAATTTTGATGATATTTGTTTGGAAACCTGAACAGACATTTCATGCCGAATTTTGAATCCTTCACATGCATCAATGAGCTGCGACAGGGCGGACATGCAATTCGAGTGGATAATTGATAGGTATTCCATCGCATCTTCTTTACTGAATCCATCGAGATGCAGCACCCTGAAAAATGAAATATGAACGTAATTTTTGAAAAGATGAAATAAAACAGAAAACCTCATTTGTTTAAATATTGTGCTCTTGCCGCATTCAGAAGTGCCCAGTAGTAAAATTTTGAACTTATTCATATCATTCGAATGATCTTTGGATAATATCCTATCAATTGCTCGTGACTTTGAGCTATTTGCTCGCTCCTGAAGAAATGAAATTAAACGAATATTAAGATTCAAAATTGCCTCAGGCGAGAGTCGCGCTCCTCGTAACCCAGTTGCTCCTGCTCCCATTTTACAGCAGCATCAGCTTTTTCTGAAAATTTGGGGAGTTTCAGGCGATATGATGAGGGTTTTACATATACAACAAAAAACAAAACATAATAATAATGAAAAATTCCTTGTTATTGTTTTTTTCTAGGATTTTCCCACGATTTTTTTTATGTTTTATACAGACAATTTTAATACATTATTTTTTGGTTTTTTCTGCCATAATATTTCTTGTTTCAGTTATGTTATATATTTTTTTCGCAAAAGGCTTTTTGAAAGGGATAAGATAGATAAACCGTCTTGCAAAAAGTTTATTGTGAAATATCAGGAATAAATGAATATATGGGTGATAATTGGTTTACTATTGGTTTCGCTACAAGTATTTAAGTGTTGCGCATTTAACGAAAATACACATTCTAACAATGAGGCGAATAAAACCAAATAATATTGGTCTTTAATTCAAATTGTGCAGTTGCGACCAGTTTACTGCATTCAAATATGATTATATTAGTATGTATATATATATGTATATATCAATTTTATTATACTGTCCGGAACCAAGGTTTTGTCTAGAACTGAAAACATAGTATTTTTATTCTAGAAATTTCTATATAATGCTTGGTTCCGTTGTAATCATAAGAGTTTGTGTGAATATGCATCGTTCGTTGTTTGGTTTTTGTAACATTTAACAAAATTTTGTGACATATTTTAAAAATGAATTTCTTTATTTGGCATTTCTATGGATATTCGCATCATGCGCTTTTTTGTTTTTCGTGTTTCTGTTTTTTCGATATATGTCGTCAAATGAAAATTCTGAGCAAAATGATTCTAGAATTTTGGACTGTTTCCATGAGACGCCTAGTAACCCGATTCGACGAATGCTGTTAGATTCCGATACAATTCCATTCTCGCAAAAAATTAATGCCTCTCTTTTGGACTTTTCCTTTATTATTATTATTACTATTGCTATTAATCAGCTTTCGTGAAGGTACGAGCAACTTTTGTTATTATCAAGCGATAAATTATATTTGATATGGCAGACAAAAAACAATTGTGAAAAATAATAATCGCAGAAAATCATAAAAACTGGATATGGCGAAACAAAAGGGTAACAACTCGTAGTGGCCGTCAATGAGAATATGTGAGCCTTTGAGAATATACATATATAAATATATATTTATATGTATATATCTACATATATGGGATTGATTTTGAAAGACTAAAGCAATTTTTTTTAAATTCTGGAAATAGGGAGCCTGCAAAAGTAATTGCCACTAAAAGTATTAATTTCTCAAGATGTAAAACTTGCATATTTTTATGATTAAAAATTCTCATTAGTTTATATTTTAAAATTCTAATAGGTTTTCGATCTCTAAACATTTTACATTTACCATTTTAATCTTCGTAAATTTTTTATTGTTATTAAAAAACAATAAAAATATTTCCTTATTTCAAACATACATTTACCAAAAGTTAAATAAACATGCATGTCGGTAATTAATGAACAAAAATATTTTAAAAAATGAAATGATTGTCTGCAAAATTGACTAACAAAACGAACCTATAGAGTAAAAAGGCAGCGGTGTTGTTTTGTCACCGCCTCTGTCGCTGCGGGGTTTCGATTTAATCAGAAGTCGAAAGCAATAGTAAGAGTTAAGCAGCTGCCTCGGCCGAGATAAATCTATATATCGGCAAAGTTTGCTATAACACGTTTAGCTTGTGGGTGGAAGCTGATTTAATGCGTTATGGGCAATTTTTTCTGTCGGTAAAAATTGAATGGGAAAAATAATGTCGGAACATGAGAAAAGAGGCATTGACAAGTGGGAGCAAAAAATATATTTTATAAGTCACCAAACTATAGAAATATGTGTTTATTTTCATCCTGAAATTCGAAATCTAGCAGCTGAGTTTAACGAAACATACCCAACTTCAATAAAAATCGAATTGTTGAAAAATTAAACAAAATATGACGTCTATGAGAAGTGCTTCCGTGCATTTTTCCACCCTCATGTTACCGAATTAATCTTGAATTCTGCGTCTTTTCTTCAGTTTTCCGATATGGGGTTAACATGCAAATCGAGAACTTTTACTGATATAAATTAGACTGACTAAAATAAAATATTAGAAGATATTGGTCACTTCAATTTTATCAATGAAACAAAATAGAAGGAAGCAAACGTAATGTGATCGACAAGAAAACGGCCAATAACAAATGTATGTTTTCTCTTGAAAACATTTGAATTTCCGAATTAATGGTCGTTTTTAGAGAACAATTTTATTATAGGTGTTTTTCATTGAGAGAAGTGCAGGTCTTATGATTGTCTAGACGCTAGATTTCCTCGAACGTTCAAATGGAAATTGAATAAAAAAAAGCAGATGCAGAAATCTTAGATCAGAATTGCAGGCGTTTTGTGCAATTGCCCATGTGAAGGAATTGTGCTTGATGGAGATGACCAACAGCATTGCTGGCAACTTGAATCTCCCGACGAATCGTCATGGCAAAGTGGAGACACGGCTTGTCAAAGAATTGGTGGCCACCTTGGACATCCCGAAAAGAGTGTAATCAAACAACTTCTACCTTATATCCAAGAAGTTCGCCATTTCATATTATTTCTTTTTAATATCATTTTTTACAGAAATCTCTGTTACCAATTCTTACCGGAATTTTGGCCGGAAATATCGAAATACCGCTGTACGCAAAAATGTGTCAGAACAACAATTTTTATGACTTTACATCGGAAAATGAAAGTTTTTTCTTAAATGTAATATTTTTCGTGTTAGAATTATTCATAAATCACTATTATTCGATTTCAGCAACCTAATGTCAGTTCGTCGTGCGCTTTTCTTACTGGGACTTCCACAAAACTAAGTTTTGAACCATGCTCTACAGATGCAATGGCTCTTTGTGATAGACGTAAGAGTAATTGTGCAATGTTGAAAATGATTTTAATTTAGCATTGGAGAAACTTGATTACTGTAATATCATGGCGAACTGCTCAATAACAACAACAACAACAGCAAAAGAAACAGAAACAGCAACAGCAACAACAGTAGTAACAACAACAACAACAACAACAACAGCAGCAGCAACCACAACAACAACAATGAGTCCTAGTGAAACTACACTGGATTGGACTACTACGCATATTCCTACAGCATCTAAGAATGACACATCTTCAACATTCTCACAGACAGACAAATATGAAACCACTTTAAGTGTTTCCGATCCGAAGGAGACGACTACAAAGAAAGTAGTAACTGATTCGCTAATTCAAACCACAGAAGATCCTGATTCTAACATTGTGATTCCTCCGGGTGGAAGTGATGATGACGGTGACAATGACAATGCAAACAGTGATAGAAATCATACAACAACCACAACCAAAACACCATCTGATTCACAAAATGATGATCATGATGTACCGTCTCCCACTGTTGGGCCCATAACTTGCACAGATAGCACTGGTACGTTAAAATTTCAATTCTTCTATTTTATTTTCATCATTTCGCATGAGAAAATTAGATAAAATATTTGAGAAATCTGATGTTCATTTTAATCAATTTCGTAATATTGAGCTTGCCTGAAAAATCAGTGGAAAATCTTCGGTATGTGCGTCGACTGGCGAGCTTTGCTGGCAATGCTCTTGATTGGATTGCTGCTTTTCACCTGTTGCTGTATATGTCACTATTGCTTGAGCGCGTGTATGTGGTGTACCCCAAGGAAAAAGGAAAAAGAGTAAGTTGAAGGGATTTTTATGCTGAATTCAATATGAGTTTTTATAACGCGCGATCCAATTTTGCCGACGACCGTTGAGCGTAATGACCGAATGATAGTGGCTCCGATACCATTGGCAAATCCTAAAATAATGGATTATTCGCAAGAAAAGACTGAAGACGTTGTTTTACCTCCAAAAGCTGTAGCTCCAGAACCGGGTGGAAAAAATTCTAATAAAAATATGACAAGGAATTATTTTTAGTTTACATAACAGTACCTGAGAAACATGAATCGGTTTATGGATTCCACACAAAGGAAATTGTTCACGTATACCCTGAAAAACCGCAATGCCGTGATGTTGGTATTACCTTGGCTACTAAAAATTTCAGTGTGCCGAATTCCTGATTAAGGTGTTAATACGGATCAAATTGGGCAGGACACAGTTCCAGCAATCGAGCCGTATCCGGTCGTCCCCGTGAAGAAGCGAAAAGCTATTAAGGTTTGAGCATTTGTATTTTGCAAAACTTTTCTTGCGATGTTCCAAAAATATCAGCATTAATTCCATATATGTCTTCCTCGAAGCCATTCAGTTATCATCATTCTGTGTAATTAAGACATATCTAATCTCTGCTGACAGAGTCAGAGTCAGATCGTTTTTGCAAAATGAAGATGCAAAGAACAATTAATTTACAGAAACCTAAGAAAATGTTCATTCCATCAACAATCACACCATTGGATGAAGTGGACGAAGAGTTGAAAGAAGATGTTCCTCTCGATTTACGTTCAGATAGTCCAGGAGGAATATCAGTGGCACCAATGGGAGATACCCCTGTTTCGCCAAAACCACTTGCATTCGTGCGAAATGCCAAACCAGTAGCACCTGAGCCGAAACAACGAGATGATGCTAAACGCTTGACATCTGTTGCAATGAACCCAAAACAAGATAATGGAATGTCGAATGACGATCCGAGAGCCATTCGGTAATACATCGTCTCTTGAATATTTAATTGACATTTTAATTGCAGATCTCCACCACCGCCAGGAGCCGCCAACGCAACCGGAAAGCCGTTGACGTATGTTCTCTTAGTATTCTGACGAAGGCAATATGTTACAGCTTCTCCCCGATTCCTGACGATTCCGATGATGACCCGCCCGTGAATGCAATTCCATCTCCACCCCCACAATTAGGACCTCAAAAATCAAGAAATGATTTCTCGGATGAACCAATTAAGCCGAAGTAGAAATTGAAACGCTGCGAACTTTAATTGTCATTTTTGTAGAAAAACGCAATCCCCAATTGAGGAGAAAAATCAAGAAAATTCGATTCCAGCTCAGAAATCTCCTTTACGCAATAAGTAAGTTAAAATTTTCATAATGAGCAAAATGAAAAGAAAACGAATTATCGTAAGACATTTTATAATTAATAATGTGTCAACCATTTTCATCAAATTTTAGTTGAAATATGTATGGGCTGAAAAAGTAAGAAAATTCTGTTTCTGAAAAAATTTTCAGAAGACTTTCACCAAACCCCGAATCTGTTCGACCAACTCAAGGACCTGTTACTAGAACTCCAATTCCATCTACCAATCCATTTGCTAACCTTCAACCTCAAAGTTCTGAAAGCAATGCACCATCAGCCAGTCCTCTTCCATCCGTTGGTATGAGAGCAGCTCGTGGAAGACTTGGGGGAGTAAGTATTCGTACTAGCATTGCTTTCTATATGATTATTTTCAGGCCGTTAAAGGCGGTGGTGGCGGCGGCGAAGCACCAGCAGCATGGAAACCATGGGCCAAACATAAATAAATTTTTTAACGTAACAAAACCATCATTACTGTTCGATTAGATTATAGCACTCATTTTTTCCACAAAACTTTGCCAGTTACAAAATTTGCAGACAATGTTCATCTCATTGTAAATGATAATTTCCCATATACCAAAATTCTGGGAGTCGCTATTGTTTATATTTAACTGGATATTGTCAAAATTCTTGGCTTTATGAGAGTATTGTGAAATCAATAAATACTTTCACTGTTACCCGCAATGAATATTCTTAATAACATATATTCAAATGTTTGCAAAACAAACTGATTTTGAAATTATTAAACAAAGAGAAAAATGTAACATTCGTTTTGAATATCGCATCATATTACGAAACCGGTATAAATTTTCGGAAAACGAGTTTTTCATCAACATTTCCTGACTGAATTCAAAAATATGTTTAGTTGGTATTAAATACTAATACTAAATTTGAGTTTACATGAAAATTACAAAATAATTGTAGCACTTTTATATTTCAAGAACAATCCGTTAATATTTCTACAGATTTCAAATTGAAGTGGTTTTGAAATGTCAATACGATTTAATAAAAAACACAAAGTTTTCAAAGAAAGTCTTATGTTCGAGAAAAATTCATGTACATTCCATTAAAAATTATTCTTGAAATACAATGTTTTTGAAAGCTAGGAAAAAAAACAAAAATTAAGAATGAAATTACGAATCGAAATAACTATTGAAACTTGAAGCATTGTTTCGAACTGTGAATTCTCTGTGCGCAATTATTTCATATATATTTTGTAAGCGTCACAGGAAAAATTATGTAAAACAGTTTTTAAAAAATATTTTTTTAGTAGCTAATTTTTTCTTTTGTTTTAATTTTATTGTTCAAATTTCTAGTGAAATAGTATGAGTTAAATTTAAAAGGTTAACGTTGAATCTAAGGAAAACAATTTAATTTATTTTCCTTGAAAGCGATACAACTACAAAAAAGCTGAAAACGATATATTCGCTTGTTTTCGGTTATTTAAATTCACGAGAGCTCAATTAGGGTTAATGAGTCGTTAGAAAAATTAGAAAATTAGCATTTAATAACTGAATCGGGCTTTGTACAAAATTATGCTATTTTTCAAAACAAACTAGGTTTTTTTCCAAAATATTGAGAGCACAAACAATCATCGAGCTGTAATTTGCATATGATTAGTAGTTTATTAGGTAATGTCAAAACAATCGAATTTCTCCCAAAATACTGTGACAAGGACACTATAGGAAAAGTGCCTGAAATTCCGTTTAATATAATTTCTCATTGTTCTTGTTTTCTTGAACAATGGACAAACAGAAGCAGGCTGTATCTTAAATTATTTGTGAGCACCTATGTGATTGTTTTCCATTGAATTGGTTATTCTATGCACATCGTAGCTCAAACATTTCAATATTCGCTTGGAGAATTCGCCATATCCGAGTGATATTATCCGAAGGATTATGCGCGCCACTAACATAATAATCTTGTTAGACTTGTCTATGAAAAGAGTACTTAATTCCCGATCGGGTTGCTCAAAAATTAATCTTTTTCTAGGCATGTTAATATTTTCTTCAATGAAAATATGAGGAGTTAAAAAGTATTGTTGTGGGAGTTGATTTGTCGTGTGATAAACAACAGAGACTTTCTCACCAACAGCGAAATCTTTCAGACCAAAGCGAGTCATCTCGAAGTTAATCCACGTAGGCGGGATGTTTCGCCATCACGCGATGATTGAACAAAATTAATTTCCGGATTAAGAAAATTCGAAGAATTATTAAATGAATTTAAAAGTCTAATCAAAATCTTCTATGAACTAGATGGATTTCTATTCCAATGAATGGAAAATTCACCAGGACACTAAGTTGTTATTGTCCCTTTTCAAAGATATTCCTTTGACGGCTTTATCTGAGAAATATAAAACTCTATTAAATTATTCAAGGTATAAAAAAGCCATCCTCATGATTAGTTGCTCAGAAATTCGTATAGAATTGTCTGGACATTGAAAAAGATGGACAATAAAACAAGAAATCACGCGATGTAATTCATTCCTTTTCATTTTACTAAGGAAATCTATTGTTCGGAAAATGGATTACGCTTCTTTCTTCGTTTTATCATTGCTCATTTTTCAGCTTTTTACCCCGCCCATATGAAGCGAAGGGGCGTGTACTTAGGGACACGCCCTTCTCCGGTATATAAGAGCTCTCGCAAGCGTTATTATCATCACACAATACATGCTGCGCAAGGTGGGTGGAGCTTAGCATAGCTCTTACTCTCCTTCGTACCATCTCATTTCTCATTCCCACTAGTTCAATTTGCCAATCAACATATTGCAGCGTTCTACCATGATTGCAAAGGTTATCGCTTACTTGGTCCTCATTCTGACGGTATGCACGATACATGCCGAAATTGTAAGTTTTATTTCGACAGAATTTTTATACGATTATTAAATACGATTACGATTATTGAATTCAGAGACCAAGGCGCGCAATAAACCCGTTCTTGGACTCAATGGGTAAAAGGGCAGTAAACCCTTTTTTAGATTCGATCGGGAAAAGGGCGTACCAATCAACAGTAAATCCTGAAAAAAGGTAAACTTCACAACAATTTTAATGTAATAAGTCTCATCAATTAGTTTCAGGTACTTTGACAGTCTAGCGGGACAATCGTTAGGAAAGCGGAGTGAAGAAAATTATTATCCCTATATCTAACCACTCTAATAGCAATATTTTTCCTCAAGCGGCTGGTCTACCTAATTATTTGTATTGTAATGGTTAATCTAAAGTATACTAGAATGAATAATGCAAATAAAATTTATTTGTTAAATCGTTGTATTTGCGATCATTTGAATAAAGAATGATTATGATGAAGACGAAGTGTTGTTGTTTCTTAATTGGAAAATGGTTAGTGGTTAATTATGAAATTACGATAGCTTCACAATATATTCTGCAGTGTGAAAAATTATAAATAATCTTTTTGTATGAACCAGTAAATCATAATTACTTACCTTTAATTAATTTTAATGCCCTTTATTTTGAAAACTGTTTCTTTATTGGAAAAAGGAAAACATTTGGAATTAGACGAAAAATTTGAAATATCACAATAATGTCACTTGTGCAAGCTTTTCGATTTTTTAAATTGAAGTCTTTTCTCCTCGACAGATGAGTTACAATTGTTCCAAACAAATAACGCTGTGCAACTTTTTAATATTTTTATTTAAGGCGTATTTTGAAATGTTTCATTTGACCTGCTAATATGTTCAAAAACCTTTTAAAAATGACGAAACGTCTCATTATTTATTGTTTTTATTTTACACTGAATTTAAATAAATCAAGATAAAATTTGTCTTAAGAATATGCCATCTTACTTAGTCTGTGTTCCTTCTTTTCTTTTCTTTAAGGAAAATATGTTCAATTTGGAAATAGAAGCATATCCGTACGAAGGATAGACATCGAGCACTAAATAGCTTTGCCATACAATACAATATCTCACGTCACATTTATCAGTCTTTTATCGAAAAACCCATAATCCTTCCAGGTATTTGGAATTAGCATTAGCCAATTGTATAGCGGATAAGCTGCGGCCTATTGTTAAAGTAATACATTTTCCAGGATATTTTTATCCGAGTGTTAAATGTCAATTATAAAGAACCTAGAATGAACATCAAAAGATTGTGGTTTGACGCACGTAGGGTGCAAATCTAATTAGAAGGTATTGTTCGATTTATACGGTAACTAATCAGGCACCTATTCAAATGTTTTGAAAGGAATTTATCGCATGAAAAATATTGAACAACAACAGTTTAAAGGTTAGGAAAGTTGCAAAATAATTAATAGCAATATTGGTGATGGCATAATAAAATATCAAAGAAAATTAATATTATTAAAATATATGGTAAACTGGAGGACGATATCTCCAAGACACACGATTTTATCAACATATTTCTGAAAGAAATGGCAAAATTTAAAACTTATGTGAACTAAACACTGTATCGTCAAATTTTGAGAACTCAAAATAACCGATTTCACTTAGTTTTACTTTTTTGATTTTCTGCTTTGAAATCTTGAAAATCATTTATAAAAATATTCGATCAATTTTTCAATTAATAGCATGATCTCTCTAGTATTTTATAAACATTTGAATACAATAGTTCTTATCGAGCTGTCAGTCCGTGGGAAATCGGTCAAATTCGGTAGAATAATAATACCTGTTGAGCTTGAGTTCTTTGAAATTCAAATTTTATCGATAATATCCTTCTTTGGAATTGTAGCAATCATTGGATGATAGATAATATGTTTTAGAAATCCAATGTTTTTCATTTAAAAAGTTTTGAAGCTATTAACATCTCACAAAAATGAATTCGCTATCTAGTTTTTCAAATTGCCGTGAGTTGATGTACAGGATATCCGGAGTACTGATTAATAAATAATTCACGATAAATCTTTTATTCTCAACTACATATGTCAGGAAGATTTTTAGATTTTTTTCCTACTTTCGCTCATGGGTGATTTTTTCTACTTGTTTTCAAGTACAGATGTGAAATTCATCTGGGTGCCAAGTTAGACATTTATTTTCAACTGATAATATTTCCTTTTTTCTCTTTTCGTTAGAAATACGAAAAAGATGATTAGTAATTGATCGTAAGGAAACAAACACCTACATTTCGATCATTGACATTGCATGCGAATGTGACCAACAAAAGTGATCGTACACGGGTCAGATCACATATTGCCAATGATTGTTGTTTTGTCTTTTATTTGTTTTCACCATCATCAACTCTCGAAAGAATGATTGTCTCGATGAGTCTCCTGCTTGCCTCATTATTATTGTGCAGTTTTTTTTCTTCGGTAGCCCGTAATCTCACCATCTGCCGTGTCACCTTGCATGTGCACATGAAACAACATCCGCATATCTCCGATTTCCTTTTCTAAATAGTGGCGCCACTATCCACGAGTTCTAATGATTTATATACAAAATTTTTCATTCTTCTTAGCTATCGAAACGCTTTAAA